CATAAAGGCTAAGTTCTCTGAGAGGCCCAGGTTAGAGAGGGACCTGAGGAAGCCTTCTGAGATGCAGAAGGAGCTTCGGTTTAACTGCATAGTCTGTGCCCAGAGCCACAGGGGACCTCAGGGCCTGCTACAGCCTTTATGGCCTCTTAGGACCCTTCATGCAGAGGGGCTGGTGCATGTTAGCCATGGAATGGTCAGGGAGGTAGAACCAAGACCTCTGGCTTCAGAAGAGGGAATGCCCACTGACTTACATTAGCAGTCCTCGAAACTCATTTTCCGTCTTGAGGCTAGCTCTGCTGCCTGTAATTCATCCCTGGTCCCTGCGCATAGTGGCATCACCAGATAAAGTTTCTGAAAACGGAACTGGAATGCCTGGGTTCCAGGACTGGTTTCGTCAACGATGCTGTGTGGATTTCAGCTCTATGCTGTCTATGGGTGGTGGGGAGGGTTTTTGTCACCCCAGTGACACTGTCCTTGGCCATGGGATATTTCCAGCCTGTTCAGGGCTCAGCCTGGCTTCTCTTGGGGAGAGGATCCCTACCCTCCACATGAGTTGATGCATTGGACACTTGGGCTACAGTGGAGCTCATTCTGTTTCTCAAGTCATGCAGGGTGTCTTTTTTTGGTGGTTCTTCTTCATTTCTCTGCCTTCTCTCATCCCCCAATCCACTTGACATTCATTCCTGAGATTATTAAAAGGGCAGCTCCAATAACATTGCTTCCAGGGTCAGAAGCCATAAGTGGCTCAGAAACCATGCAGTGGTTGCTAATGGGTAAGCTGAAGAAGTTGGAGGAAAGATGGGGTAAAGATTGCTAAAGAAAAGAAGAAAATAAGCAGTAGTGGGAGAGCAAGGGTCCACAAGCCACAATGTCCCATGGGAGGAGAGAAGGAGAGGTTGGAAGTGCTCTGAGGGATCAGACAGAGGGTGGGGAAAATCAAGGAAAAGGCTGAGGATGGAAGGGAGCATGCTTCTCATGGGATGAGTCCTCCTGGCTTTTTGGAGTACCCATAGAAGGGATTGAGGCTGAGGCTTCTGGGATCTCTTCTTCTCTGGGATCAGAGAAGATCCAAGATCCAAAGGAGGAAGAATGAGAGGCAAGTCGTCCCATCATGGGTGGGGTTGTAGGAAATCCCTGGGATATGACTGGGTGTTGTAGAGAGGTCAGGCAAGACAGTGCAAGAGGCCTGGGAAAGAAGGAGCTGGGGAAATATAGAAAAGAAGAGGGAATAGAAAAAAGCAAGGAGAAGAAAAGAAAGCAGTAAGGGAGGAGACTTCCAGAGCCATTAAGGAGGGCTCTTCTCCATCAGGAGCCTGGAGGAGGATTCAGGAAGGACTTTCTAAAACAGGCACACTCGTGCCTCACCCTCGGGTCTATATGCAAAGGTACCTGGTACCTCTTAGACAGAGTCATTCCCTTGCTTGCTGGAAAATAATGCAGCCCAGACCACCCTATAGAATCCCTGGGCCTCAAGGGCCGGGGGAGATGAAGATCTCACCCAGTCTTGGTCTCAGGGCTCCGGCTCCATCTCCTCCCAACCCAGCCTAGCTGGCAGAGCAATGGAGGCTGGGCTGTCCATCCCACGCACCCGGTACCATACCTGGCCTTGCTGCCATCACCCAGGATGTGGAGGCTGCAGCTGCAGTGAGAGGGGCAGGAGCCCCGGGCCTGGGGAGGCCACCCAAGGGCCAAGAGCCAGAGCATGCCCACTGCCGCCCTCATGGCTCCTGGCTCCTTTCTGGCCCAGGCAGGGGCCTGTCCCTGGACCGCTCAGTCCCACCAGCCCAGCAAGCCCAGGAAGCCCAGCAGCTGCCCACTTGCTCGCCAGCCCCTTACACTCCCTCCTGAGGCCATCGGATAAACACAGACAGGCTGGGGATTAGGGAGGGGAGTCCCAGCCACAGCACTCAGCGGCTTATTTCTGTCTGAATCACTCAGTCCTGAGGGTGGGGGTGGGGGACCCCCTTCTGTAGCAACAGCCACAGGCCCAGAGAGGCCAGGGCACAGCAAAGCAAGACAAGTAGGCAGCTTCCCGGAGGCAAGCAGCCATGGGACTGTCATCTGCAAAGCACCCCATCCCAACCAGGCCACAGACAACACAGACTCCACGAGTGCCAGCGAAGATAGAGACAGAACCCCAGTTTCTAATAAGGCCCTTTGGAAACTCTTTCCTGTGTCATTGTCTCATAGCAAAAAAAGCACTGAAATGAAGCAGCTCTTCCTGACAGTGCGAAAGGCGTTAGAAGGAGCCCAAGCTCATTCCTAGGTTCAAATCCCAGCTCTTTCATTAATGGGCTGTGACCTTGGATGAGTCACGTTATCTCTTATCCTCTGTGTCCTTATCTGACAAAGAGAAATAAAGTTATTTCATGCAGGGTGTTTATGAAAATTAAACTCAAATGCCAAAGCCTTGACAGCTTGTGAGCATGGAAGCTCTCTCACAAGTTGTAAGTACAGTACCCAATTTCACTGATATTTACAAGTCCCTGGTTACATAGGAACTGGACAGGTTCAGACATTTTGAAGAGACATCAGAGGTGTCTCTCATGAGCCCACAAACTGTCCCAGGCTGCCAGGCAAAAAGCTGCCTGCCTTGAGTACCCCATGGATATGCGACTCAGAGCACTGCTATCTCAGCTGAGCCCTTCCAGGAATTACTACGAATGCCAAAGGTGGGGATGGCTCCACAATGAGGGACAAGGGCACCCCTCTCCTCAAGGGATCATATTCCAAGAAGGGTCCCAAAGGAGTAGCTCAAAGAGTTCTTAGAGAAGGCACTTTCAGGTTTTATTTTGGAGACAAAACTCCAGCCTCCAATAAGGGCCTTTGGAAATTCTCATCCATAAAACTTTGTTTTGCTTTATACCTCTATCCCAAACCATCCATAAAGCTTTGCTTTGCTTTGTAGCGACAGGGTTTGCTGTCACTCAGACTGGAGTGCAGTGGTGTAATCATAGCTCACTGAAAGCTCAGACTTCTGGGCTCAAGCCATCCTCCTGCCTCAGCCTCCCGTGTAGCTGGAACTACAGGCAAGCACCACCACGTTTGGCTATTTTTAAAAAATTATTTTTTGTAGAGACCGGTTCTTGGTATGTTGCCCAGGCCAGTCTCAAACTCCCGGCCTCAAGTGATCCTCCTGCCTCAGTCTCCCAAAGTGCTGGGATTACAGGCCTGAGCCACTGTACCCAGCTCAATTTCAATTTTTATCTATTATCTCCTAATCCTATCCCACCCTACCATATCTACTCAATAGGCCAGTGGGGACTGACCAGGGATGATTCCCAGTAGCAGACACTCAGCCAACTGATTCATTCATTCCTCACATTTGACCCCAAGGCATTGTTTTCTGGTCCAACATGCCCTACTTAAGTTCTTTGGCTTTTCTGGAAGGTTCCCCAGTCCCTCAGGCCTGTGGGTCCAGCCAGGCCTAGACCAGTGAGTTATGGCCCGCAAAGATATCTGGGGCCCCAGTGCACACATATCTGCCTAACTCTCTGCCAGGCCTGTTTTGACAATACTGGCTTCTCATTCTATCCTTCCAATGCAGCCGGTAGGGTTTTCTCAGCGCTTCCCAGCTATACTTCCTCCTCCCCAAACCCAGCCACCAGCTTGCCTGTTCCCACATCTCTGCTTCTTTCTCTTTCATCTTTTGCCTAAATGAACTTTACCCTTCAATCTTGGCCTTGCCCTGCTTTCTCTTCTCATGAAGGCTTTTGTGATCGCGAAGGCATGAAAAAAGGATGGACACAGGTAATAACCAACATCCTAAGGTAGAAATTGAGAAAGAACAGGAAAGCTCTGGAGGTTGCAATCATAAGCTCGGCCCTGAGGAGGGATTTGGCTTGGAGATAAGTGAGGACCCATGAGAGGAAAGGCCTGGGAAGTGGATGTTGATGGAACAGAATGGGTTGCTCTACCAGAGTGCATCAGAAGATGCCATTGAAAAGTGCCTGAGCCTGGGGAATAGGAGATCCAGCTTTTGTTTCAGCTCCATCCATAAATTACTACGTGGCCTCAGGAAGATTCTTAACAGCTTTCAGCCACAGTTTTCTCATCTGAAATGGAAAGGATAATGGTATCTAATTCATGGAATTGTTTGTAGGACTCATCAGAAGATCCCTTAGCACAGTGCCTGACCTCATTCAATATGAGCTGTGTTGCCGACAGCGCCCTGGGGCTTGGTTTCTTTATCTGAAAATGAGTTAAGGTACCCTAGATCAGTGTTTCCTGGTGCAAATTTTACCATGAGCCAGTACATAACAGTGCATAAAGAGCCGGTGTACCAAGAAGTCATTTGTAGCAACCTAAGCTGCTAGTGGGGAGGGGGGCGGGTGCAGGGAGGAACTGACAAGATAGCAGCCCCTCTGTTCTAAAACAGTGTCCTAGGAGATGTTTTATGCTTGTAGGGCTCAAGTGCTGTATGAGAGACAGGAAGTGCAGCCCTGAGGTTTACATTCACGATGTCTAACCAGGACTTACACAGACGACAGGGACAAAAGACACTGACATTGCAGAAAAGTAAACAGAAGAGTCCAGTGGTCCCACTCCAGGGCACGTAACTGGTTAGTGGCAGATTTGGAACCAGAACCCTATTCTCTGGTCCCAGTTGGGGTTCTTCCTCTGACAGCAGGTAACTTCCCAAACCTCATCCTTTCCTCAGCGCTTTGGAGCACACGCATGTGAGCCTGAGGACACACGCACACAGACACCGGGCTTGTCAGGAACAGCTGTGGCTCAAATTCCTCCGCTTGCTCCCCTCCCCTGGTTATGCAACTGTTTTCCAATTAGGCTCTCAGCCACACACAACATTTGGATTCCCTGACCTTAATCCTGTGCAATGGGGCTGAAATGAATGAGACAGGGCTCCATTCTGGCTTCACAAAGGCTGCATTGTCCAACTCGTGAATGGATTCCTTCTGCTTGGGCCAAGAGGACCCATTTACAGGAGGGAGGCATCCAGAAAAAGCCCAAGGTTCAGCATAATAACCTGCATGTGCCTGCACACATGTGGGTTGGCCCTTTAAAAGGGAGGGCTTGGCTGTAGGAAGCCAGAGACAGCTGGGTCACTGACGAAGGGAGAGCAAGAATGGCAGAGACCAGCACCCTGCCCACTGGCTTCGGGGAGCTCGAGGTGCTGGCTGTGGGGATGGTGCTGCTGGTGGAAGGTGAGCCAGGCAGAACCTGGGGTACCGCAGGGCCCCAGTGGGTACTGAGGACCCAGGCCACCAGTGTGGAGCTAGCAAGGAGAGGAGAGGTGCCCAAAGCCAGCTGGGTGTCAGGTCCCTTTGGTCTCCTCCCCTCTGTGCCTGGACTCAGGGGTTGTTCTGACAGCTGAACCTGTGGGAGCAGAGAGTAAGCCTGGCAAGGGCCAGGGAGGGAGAGACTTTAAGAGGGGACATCTGCCCAGGAGATGATCAAGAGCCAGGCTTTAGGACTTTTCACGTCCCTTCTGCTGGGAGAAAATTTAATCCACTGCTTGGAAATCCTGCTAAGAATCCCACATAAGATAAGTCCCCCAAAAAGCTCTGGGGACAGACAACTCTGCCACCTGCTCTTACAGCTGAAGGGACTGTAACCAAGTCCCTTCAGCTCTCTGCCCTCAATGCCTTGACATTCCGAATGGTTGATTGTGAGGATTAAATGGGATAATGGGCATAAAGTGCTAGCCTAAATAGACTCCAGGGTATTTAAGTACGTTCACTCCCATCCTCTCCAGCCTCACCACTATTTTCACTGTGTCTACTCCCACGAGCCTAAGCACTTCCCCTCTGGAGGCTACCTGGGTCCACCAGGTACCTACCCTAACCCAGAATCCCTAAGATGCTCGTTGAGGCCAGAGCTAGAGACAGTGTCAATCCTGATCTGGGCGGGCTCAAGCCAGGTTGATGGAGGATGCAGCTTTGGTTCAAAGCAGACCCAGAGAAAACATCAGCACATTTTCTCACCTAATGAGAACTGACAATGGAGAGGAAGTGATAGTCATTGGATTGGTCCTGAAGGCCCCAGACACAACTGTCTGGTGGCCCCAGCCCGTGTCTCCCTTTCCTGAGGACCCTACAATCTAGCATCCCTCCAGGTCCTCAAACATGCCATAAAAGTTTACCACTTTATTTTTTGGATGGTCTTTAAATTTACATTTTTATTTCACGTTTGATGATTAGAAATATCATGATATATGTAATGCTTTGGTTTTTATTTTATTTTTAAAATATTTTTAAAATTTTAATAGCTTCGGGGATACAAGTGATGTTTGATTACATAGATGAATTATACTGTGGCAAATTCTGAGATTTCAGTGCACCCATCAACCCATATTAGGTTGTACCTAATATGTAGGTTTTAAAAATTCTACCCCCTCTTCCACCCTTTCCCTTCTGAGTCTCCAGAGTCCATTACACCACTCTGTATGCCTTTGCATACTCACGGTTTAGCTCCCACTTTAAGTGAGAACAAATGGTATTTGGTTTTCCACTCCTGAGTTACTTCCCTTAGAATAATAGCCTCCAGCTCCATCCAAGTTACTGCATAAGATATCGTTTCATACCTTTTTAAGGCTGAGTATTATTCTGTGGTGTATATATACCACATTTCCTTTATCCACTAATCAGTCAGTGGGCACTGATTCTGTATCTTTGCAATTGTGAATTGTGCTGAAATAAATATAGATGTGGATGTGTCTTTTTGGCTGGATTAAATGGCAGATCTACTTTTAGTTATTTAAGGAATCTTTATAGTGTTATCCACAGAGGCTGCACTAATTTACATTTCCACCAGCAGTGTATAAGCATTTCCCTTTTACCACATTCATGCCATCGATCTATTGTTTTTTGACTTTTTAATGATGACCATTCTTGTAGGAGTAAGGTGGTATCTCATTGTACCATTTTATGTCTTTGCATATGCTATTCCCTCCTGGAATGCTCTTCCATGCCCTGTCCTGCAGGTAAGTGCTTCTTATAGTTTTGAAGGCAGGAGTTTTTCCTGTTCCTCACTTTAGATGGGGGAAGCTGAGGTTCAGAGAGCTTCAGGAGCAGCAAGTGAGGCCGCCAAGCCAAAATCCATGGTTGGGTCTCTCTGCTGCCAGAGAACACCCCCTTTATGTTCACTTCCCTGCCTGGTGTCCTGGGCAGCTGTCAGCTCTAAGGTCAACTCTTCCCCTTGGAGGCTCTCCGACTTTGCTCTACAGCCCTTAGAGTAGGCATTTTGAAACCCAAAAGGACATAATGGAATTCAAGTTCCAGCTCTACCACTTACTAGCTATGTACTTAGGGCAAGTTAGCTACAGTCTCTGAGCCTGTTTCCCAGCTATAAATGGAGAAGAGAGTCCAAGTGAAGACTGAATGAGATGACTCATGTAAGGTGCTTATCCTGGTGCCTGGTGTGTGATAAGTGCCCTGCAGGTGTCGGTGATTATGACTGTTATAGCATGAAACATGCTATATTGATTGTCTTCTTTGTCTGTCTGGGAGGTTGCTGATGGTCCATCCACCCCACGCACCCTGTTGTGACCCCAGCTGGGCTTCCGCAGCCCCAATGCCAGCCCCCACCCTTCCTTTCAGCTCTCTCCGGTCTCAGCCTCAATAGCCTGACCATCTTCTCTTTCTGCAAGACCCCGGAGCTGCGGACTCCCTGCCACCTGCTAGTGCTGAGCTTGGCTCTTGCGGACAGTGGGATCAGCCTGAATGCCCTCGTTGCAGCCACATCCAGCCTCCTCCGGTACCAGCCCCTTCCCCAAACCACAGGCTCTGGGATCCTGCCTGGCGCCTGACCTCTGGACCATGGGCAGCCAGGCCAAAGGCATTTTTAGTACTTATAGAAAATTGGCCAAGGGCTAAGGGTAGGAAGGCTAAAATGGCCTAAATTCCAGATTATTCCTGAAGAACGGCAGTTGATTTCTGAAAGGCAGGGGTTGCCAAAGCCTGATGAGAGAGATGGCAGGTTGTAGGCATCAGTAGCGTGAGTTCTGTAACCAAGCAACCTAGGTTTGCATTCTGGCTTCAGCATTTCTAGTTCTAGGCTTCTTCCATAAACTGGATATTATTTCCTAACTCAGATGGGTGGTTGGAAGTATTTATTTCTATTATGTGTAAATAACTTAAAATAATGCTTGACACCTAGGAGCTCTAAGTGAGTGTTTGTGAAAGCAAACAGGGTTTTGGCTAGTGTCTAATACCTCCTTATACACAAACCGGGGCCTTCCGTCACAGCTTCAGGAGGTGTTTATAAGATTGTTTTCTGAAGCAGACTGGACATTCTCATTCTGCTTTTGGTCACTACAGATGGAGGCTGGAGCCCACCTGGATATACATGCTCAGGGCTGACCAGCCTGGGGGTCTGCATCAGTGAGAATTCTTCCTCCCACAATGAACAGAAGCTTCCAACTTTGCTTGGCCCTTGGGAATGGGGAGGCCTAGGGTCTCCCCTCTGACTTTCCCTTCATCTGTGTGACCTTGGCTTCGGTATCTTTGCCTCTTTGAGCCTCAGTTTCCCCACCTATCAAATACAGGCATGAGCTCTCCTGTGACAGAGGCATCCGATCACGCAGAGAGAGGCTATGGCCCAACCGTAGTGCAGTCAAAGTCGCCCAGCCTGGAGAGTGTGCATTGGGCTCCACCCCTTCAGCCCAGCGACTTAAGCTCTAAGGCCTCACAGCAAAGACAGCGACATCAAGGGCCTCTCCGGAGACGCAGGGCAACATCCAGGAACACAGACTCCAAGCTGTACTTGGCAGGTGCGGGAGGTGGAAAGGGTCGGAGGGGAGGGGTCATTGGTGCCCAGTGTCTCCCACAGGCGCTGGCCCTACGGCTCGGACGGCTGCCAGGCTCACGGCTTCCAGGGCTTTGTGACAGCGTTGGCCAGCATCTGCGGCAGTGCAGCCATCGCCTGGGGGCGCTATCACCACTACTGCACCCGTATGTATCTGGGCTCCTGGAGTGGAGGGACGCCGATGCAGTGTGGAGAGGATAAGAGGCAGGGAGGGACAGTCAGAACTAGCTGCTGCTCCGCGTTTCCTGGTACAGGGAAGTGTGGGTGGCTGTAAGTGTACATGCCTATCGTGTGTGGGCACTCATTTCAGGAAAGGAGGGAGGGTGGGAGAGTGTGCAGGAGACCTGCTGAGGCTCTCTTGCCATGACTGCAACCTTCGTCAAGTCAGGGATCCTCTCTGAACCTTAGTATCCTCCTCTGCGAGATGATTTTAACAACCAACCTCAGTTTTATTTTGAAAATCAAATGAGATCAGGGATACAGAAAATGCCCTTGCAGACAGGCACTACTGAGGCGCAGAGAGGCTGTGTGTATATGTGTGTAGCTGGGCATGTGCCCTGGCACCTCACCCTTCCATGAGGCTCCATGAAAACTGCTCCAGCTCTAGATTTGTCAAGCTGCATTGTAAAATGCCATCTTCATAATTGGCCATATCAGTGTACAAACGGCTCTGTTTTCCCTTGACTTTTTTTCTTTTTCTGTTTTGAGGCAGGGTCTCGCTGTGTTGCTCAGGCTGGAGTGCGGTGGTGTGATCTCAGCTCATTGCAACCTCTGCCTCCCAAGTTCAAGCAATTCTGCTGCCTCAGCCTCCCTAGTAGCTGGGATTACAGGCACGTGCCACCACGCCCGACTAAGTTTTGTATTTTTATTAGAGACGGTGTTTCACCATGTTGGTCAGGCTGGTCTGGAACTCCTGGCCTCATGATCTACCTGCCTCTGTATCCCAAAGTGCTGGGATTACAGGTGTGAGCCATTGCTCCTGGCCTGATTTTTTTTTTTTCTTAAAAGTGACTCACTTTTTAAAATGTAAACACTTGCTTCAAGCTCATTCTAAACAATATCTGGGAAATCACAGGTTTAATGTACTTATACTTTTAATACACATTAAAACATGCTCACCCAGAGACCATGTAGAACCCTGTTCACCACCAGGGGTACATAAATATGCTTCGGGGGGCTGTGGCTCAGCTCACCCTCCTAGCAAACCCTCAGCTCACAGCCTCGGAAGCAAAGGCACAGAGAAGTTAAGCAGCTTGCCTAGGGTCACATAGCTACTAAGGGTAGAGCTGCCGTTGGTCATGACCTTGTACTTCCAAGTCCTGAGCTATGAATTTCCCCAGCACAGAGGCTGCTGTGAGGTCTATGGCCAGCACAGCCTCAAGCTATGGCATGGCCTCTTTGGAATCCATAGAACTTCCCTTGCCACAGTCACATGTACAGCCACGTTCTCTGCAAAGCCACTGCCCCTCATGGGTCTCTCCTATCATATGCCTCTCTCCAGGCCAAAATGCTGCCTTCAGTCTCATCATTTTGAATGGTGATGGGTGAGCCCCTCCTGTCCACCTGACGTCGGAGCACTTCTCCACTACTTCTATCCTAGCCCCCACCCCTAATGCTCCTTTGGACCATCTTACACACACACACGCACACACACACACACACACACACACACACACCCCACCACCACCACCACCTCAGACAGCAACAGGCTTTTCTGCCTCAATATAGAACAGTTAATCCCTGCGCCAGGGTCCTCAGATCAAAGCCCTTTCAATACCGAGGGCATGGCAGAGCAGTGTGAAGACAGGCAAAGGGGAAGAAGGAAGTCTGAATTCATGTACTCCTTCACTGGGTGGTTGTAGGCATCTGTTTCTAAAGCTGAAAGTCTGTGGCAGCACAAGGGTCCAGGTAGGTATTAATTATTGTGCCCACAGAGAATCACTTGTACCCGGGAGGCAGAGGATGCAGTGAGCTGAGATGGCACCACTGTGCACTCCAGCTGGGCAACAGAATGACAGTCAGAAAGGAAGGAAGGAAGGAAGGAAGGAAGGAAGGAAGGAAGGAAGGAAGGAAGGA